ATGGGCAAACCCATCTATGCAGCTTCTCTGCTTACTTTAATCCCCTGGAGTCTTTATATACTGTTATTTGTTATAGCTCTTCATTTCTGTAATATCCATGAATGATTTATACTATGTGTGTGTACCCATAGTTTTAAATAAAGTTTTTGATTTGCATATCTTTTCTCTCCTCCTTGGTTATAAATTTCTTTTTTGTAAAAACAGCATCTTTTACACAAATAAGCACATTATGACTAATAAAAATATCAATATTGTGATAACAATTACTGTAACTAATAATAGCTCTCATGGCAGACAATAATACTTGAAATTTTGTTTACGTATCATATATGTTTCTCCAAATATCAGGAACTCCAAAATGGTAGGACTGGAATTTGCCTAATTTTCCTATCACATCCTAGCAAGTGTAGGGAACACCACAAGATCTGCAACAGAGGCAAAACATTTTTTAACAACACACTTTGCCAGTCAGTGGGAGGGACCAGAGAAAGAAACAAATTAAAGTAAATCGTTATCTCAGTATGCCAAGAATTAGAATTCCTTCTCTGTCGTCTCTAAATTAACAACTAGAGCTGCTATTTGTTGATACTGAGACAGGCTTTTTACTGAGTAATCTACAAGTTTCAACTGATTTTCTACCCTCAAAGCCCTATGAAGGAGGCCCTTAGATAGCTGAGGAGAATGAGATACAGGTGAAGTAATACTGCTGTAATTCACACGGCAAGGGAAGGACAGTCTTAGAGGATTTATCATCTACAACAAAACGATTGTTATATTACCCATTGCTTTTGTTGAAAGCCTTTTACTAGAGCTTATTACTATGCATATGACTCAGGTTAAAGAGTCTTTGTCTTCTGCTGCTGCTGCTGCTGCTTTTCTCTCTATATATGTGCATATATTTGTTGTTGTGTGCTGTCAAGTCAATTCTGACTCATAGCAGAAGGTCAGAGTTGAATGGCCCCATAGGGTTTCCTAGGCTATAATCTTTATGGGTGCAGATTGCCAGATAGTTTCTCCCATGGAGCCACTGGTGGGTTAAACTTGCTGACCTTTTGATTAGCAGGCAAGCACTTAACCATTATGCCAACAAGGCTTCATATATCTATATAGGTATCTATACAGATATATAGATATATATATATATATATATATATATATATATATATACACACTATATACATATATACATACACAATATATATATCGTATATATATAAACAAAAAACCAAACCAGTTGCTGTCAAGTCAATCCCGACTCATAGCAAGCCTATAGCAGAGTAGAACTGCCCCATAGGGTTTCCAAGAAGCAGCTGGTGGATTCGAACTGCTGACCTTATGTTTAGCAGCCTGAGCTCTTTACCACTGTGCCACCAGGGCCCCTAGACATATATATATATAATTTTCTATATCTCTTTATCTATCTATCTATAGTTATTAGTTGCCAGTTGAGTTGGCTCCAACACATAGTGACTTTATATACAACAGGACAAAATGTTGCCTCATCCTCCTCCACCTTAATAAGCATTGGTATATATATATTTATTGCTCTGATACATATATGTATACATATGCGTGTGTATATATATATATATATATATATAGTTTGTTGTCCTCTATAAATTTTAATTGATATATATGTATATCTGTGTATATATATATACTTATATACATATGTATATATATCAATTAAAATTATAGAGGGCAATAAACAATGTTTTGTAATTGTCTTTATGTAGGGAGCCCTGGTGGCACAGTGCTTAAAAGGCTCAGCTGCTAATCGGAAGGTCAGCGGTTTGAACCACCAGCCACTCCACAGTAGAAAGATGTGGCAGTCTGCTTCTGTAAAGACTCAGCCTTGGAAAACCTATGGGACAGTTCTACTCTGTCCTACAAGGTCACTATGAGTCAGAATCAACTCGATGGCAATGGGTTTGGTTTTTGGTTTGTGTCTTCAAGTAGATCACCAGTATTATCAAAACAGCTTTCTAATTAAGCAAGAGTATTCTGATATATAGTTACTTAGGCTGTACATTTGATTTCTAAGCAGAAAGAGCATATTTTAATGTGAATAACAGAGAACAGAAGTATACTATTTCTAGTATGTGCAATATCATCTACCAGTATTTTGGATAAAAATAGGTAGCAGGACCCTGATGCCCTCTTTGACCACTCCCTGATACCACAGCTTTCTAAACTGTTGAATGAATGACATCTTGATTTATAAATAAATGGGTCCTACAGAAAGAAGCAATAGAGAAATGGGCAATAAGCCAAAATCAACTTCTCAGAGAACTTAGAATTGTGTAATGCTGTTATTTCTTCTTTTAAATAAAACAGGAAATAAAATGCAATGTACACAGGTATCTTTATTATTTGATGAGGCCCAGTGGGGCTTCGCCTATTATCTTACTATGAGAGTGATAATAACAAGGTAGTGAAAAGTGAGGCAACAGTTACTGGTGCAGGGGTCACAGTGCTTTAGACGTTCAAATGTAGCAATCAGACTGCCTTTAATACCTCCCAGGAGAACCTCACTTTCCACGCTTTGCTTTTTCTTAAAAGAAATTGTGTAACCCTTTGGAAATGATTTCAGCAAATTCAAAAAGTTAAGACGAGGTATCAGATTTGCTCTTCTTCAAAGACATTCTTTTTTCATCTTCTGGAAAGTGAAGACCTTCAGATATCAGCCTGAAAAAAACAAGCAAACCTTAGAATGCAGCAAAGTGCAAACTTTCTCATCTGACCAGGTGAATCTAATGTTGGGGGTTCATAAATGTGAAGGAAAAAGAATTGGATCTTTCCAGAGTCCTCATCCAGCCTGATGACAAGGAAATCTATCCTAGGACAGGATGTGTCAAAAAATAAGACAAAAAGAACTGTGGTATCTAAGGTCTTTTGATGTCCAAAATTCTATGTGTGTCTTTCTCAAGTTTGAGTCTTACACTGAGGCTAGACTTTAATGTTCATGCCTGCAGTTGATCATGGTTTAGAATACTCTTACTAAACTCACCACTATTCTGTTATAATACACATCCTTCAGTGAGTGAATATTGAAAGTTCATTGGCCTTTGAAAGCAGAAATTTATCTCTCATGTTTATAGTCTTTATTCTAAATTCACAGCATACAGTGTAACATGCCTATAAAAACTGTGAAAAAATTTCAACCAAGAGCCTGGTTACTAAATCCTGAATTAGTAAAACTGGTTAATTTTTGAAAGGCCAAATATCTTACATGGATAGTTACAGAAATTTAGACAGGTTAGAATTCTAACTCTGCCCCTTACCACCTGGAGATCTTGATTAAGTTTATTAACGCTTTAAGTCCCTTTTTCTGTATGTGTATGTATCTATATATAAGGAGGACATGGAGGCAGCTCCGAAGCCCAGACCCAAGGAACTGCTGAGTCTCCTGCACCGAATTCTGGACCCAAAGGCCTTGCCTTCTGGGCTGGCACTTGGGGAGACCTGGGACCCTGCTGCTGGACTAGAGGCACAGTCAGCTGCTCTGGGGCTCCAGCAACTGGTGGCACTGGGGGTCAAGACGATTGGTGGGGGTTGCTGCCCATTCTGTGTTCCCCTGAAGCCACCCCTTCTGAAATCCCAGCTACCTGCTGCTGCCCTACAGGCAGGCCCCAGTGAACCCCAGGGAAACCAGCGGCATACGGCTGGTCTTGGATGGCTTGGGGTCAGAGCCTGAGAGCCTGGAGACTAATAGCTGCTCAGAAGAGGGGCTCAGCAGGATGGGTTGTGGAGGACGGGGGGACAGCCGGCTTCTGCTGCATCCCCCAGACCCAAAGTTACCCCCAGTACTCTTCCCACTGCAGTACTTGGTCCCTCCAGGGCGCTTGAGTAGAGGGGAGCAGCAGCAGCAACCTTCCTGCCCCTGCCTCCTCCTGGGCCCCTCCGCCAATCCCAGGCCCTTCTCAGAAGGGCTCCCTCAAAATCCACCTCAGTGGCCTCTTTCACACAAAGAGTTACAAAGCTGGCTCTGGCTGTGGGGATGGGACCAGCAAGAGGCCTTCTGGAGAGAGAGCTGGCTGCTTCAGCTGCAAACCTGACAGACTTGGGTGGCTCTGGGCAGGAGCTGAATGCTGGGAGGAAACCCAGGTTAAGGCACAAAGTAGTTACATAATACATTTGTTGTTATTGTTGTCGCTGTGAAATATGGACAACCAAATAGTCTGTAAGTGAGGAGTAGGTGTATTCTAATATTTCCTCCCTATTTCAAAATCCTACTTCCCTTTAACAGGACACATTTTATCAACTCTTTTCTAAGTGAAAGAACTCTTCATTCTCCTTGAAACATCAATTTTTCACTTAAATATTACCTACACATTATATCCTCTTTCTGTTCGTAGTGAAGATTTATTCTGTGTAGACTCTGTCCCTGATTTCAAACATACATGATATAGGGTGAGTGGAGTGATTGGGGGTAAGGGACGGGTTTGTGTGAATGTAAATGTGTCTGCTAGATTGTGAAAAGAATTAGGCCTTTTACTTCTCTTTAATACTTTTGTTTCTATTTTTCATTTCCCACTAAAATTACATTTCTAATATTCCTTCTAACATATCTTTTTTCTCTATTTTCTTATCTACCTTGCCTTAACTTAGACAAAAAGAAATGTGAATTGCCATTTTGTATTACATAGTATGAGTCAACTCTGTTACAGGTATAAAAATTTGTTATAAAATTGGGATTTATCCATTAATATATGGTGTCTAAAGAAAAGAGATAACATCACCACCTTCCTTCGTTTGAAGAGAGGGCATGTGTATTATGTCGTTTCACTTAAAAGCCAGGTCTTTTTCACTGTAAACTGACAAAGAATGTGGATGTTCAGAAAATAGTACGGGGAGAGTTTTCAAAACATTAAATGAGTAGTCTGCCAAAAAAAAAAAAAAAAAAATGCAGCTTCAGCGAGACTTGTTAAAGTTACTAAATTCCATCATCCCATAGGAGGCACAATAGAGTCAAGGACGTGGCCAACGTTACAGTGGAGATGAGATTTTTCCTTATGGAATTTTCCCTTATGGAATTTTCCCACACCATGGAACTCCGGGTCCTGCACGCCTTTCTGTTTTTGCCGATTTACTTGGCGACTCTAATGGTGAACCTTCTCATTATTGTCCTTGTCACCCTGGACCAGTATCTTCACACCCCCATGTACTTCTTCCTGAAGAACTTGTCCTTCTTTGATATCTGTCTCATTTCCATTATAGTTCCCAAATCCATTCTCAACTCTCTTACAAGAGCACCATTTCTTTACCGGGATGTCTTGTTGGTGATTCACTTTGCTGGGGCTGAGGTGTTCATCCTCACAGCTATGTCCTATGATCGCCATGTGGCCATCTGTCACCCACCACACTATGAGGTCATCATGAGCGGAGGAGTCTGTGTATGGAAGGCAGCTGCCTCCTGGTTCCTTGGAGGAGTCTTTGGAAGCTTATATTCAGCTGGCACTTTCTCTTTATCTTTCTGTGGCTCCAGAAACCTCCCTCCATTTTTCTGTGATGTACCATCACTATTAAAGATTTCTTGCTCAAAGTCACATGTAACTATTAATGTCAGTGTGGCAATTGGAATATTTTATAGTTTCTTTTGTTTACTTGCCACTGTTTTCTCATATACCTATATTTTCAATACAGTGCTAAGCATCCCATCTGTACAAGGCCAGTCAAAAGCCTTCTCTACCTGCTTACCCCATCTCATAGTCGTGACCATCTCTCTCCTGACGGGAGCCATCGCCTATCTGAAGCCAGTGCCAGACTCTCCCTCTCTCCTGGACTTGCTGCTGTCTGTTTTGTATTCAGCACTGCCTCCCAACCTGAACCCCATCATCTATAGCCTCAGGAACAAAGAAATTAAGGCAGCACCGAGAAAACCCCTGTGGAAACTTGGTGGCAATATGAAGTAGTGAAAATGAAATAAAGTTATGAAATATTCGATTTTTATTTCCCATCCTAAAGTAAAAGTCTTTCTAACATTACTAGTTATGCAATTTAATTCTGCTGAATTAATTTATTTCATTTAGTTTTTTTTAATCTATGGGAAGTAGAATAGGTTTCTTCCAGGTTGTAAATAATTCTATGTCAAATTATTTTTTTAGTGTGATTTACCCCAATTTTTCTTATCGTATCCACTGTTGTTGTTAGTTGCCATGAGTCAGCTCTGACTTCTGGTACTCTTATGTGTAACAGAACAAAATATTGTCCAGTCTTGCACCATAGGAATCTTAATTTCATACAATAAAGGATTTTCTAGCTTGTCAAAGAATCTGGACATTTATATCTGCATCCCATTTTCAAAACATTTAAAAATTCTATTTTTATCTAATTCAAAAAATTACAGGAAGCTAATAGAGCAATCATGCAATTAAAAGCTCCTTACTTGAATTTTATAGATATTTGAACTCACATATTTTTATTACTATATGGACATTAATAAGTAGTCGACCTTCCACCATACCTGTGTTGTATTAGAAAAATTATATATAGAGATTTACATATGCCATCATTATATCTAGGGTGTTGCATCCACTATTGTTAGTTACTAATTTCATTTGTGTGATATATTTTAAAGCTAACTTTTATCAAAATGGTAATTAACTACATTATTTCATATTATTACTCACATGCTAATAGAAGCGTTGCTTTTAAAAGAAAATAAAAAAAAATTACAGAAACATAGTTTAACTTTTATAATTTATGACCCTAAGGGAGGTTTTAATTGATGTCATCAATCGCCCGTTTCTGTGTCTATTGCCCTGTAAGAATGATACTGAAATAAGACTAGAAGAGAGTGGGCAAATATTCTGGTATATCCCCAACGTTTGTAATTGCACCTTAATGCCATCCATATTGGAGCTCAGAAACACTTGTACAAATTAAACTCAACCTCCAAAGTCAGAAAATGGATTTCATTAAGAAAGAGCAGAAACCCTTCATTATGGCAAAAATGAATTCCTCAATGTGCCATTTTAGTGTAAGTGAACTTTGGCAAATTTTAAGTTTTCTTAAACATTTACTTCTGTATTTGTAGAATGATAATATCTACATATTTCTTTAAAAGACTGATATGATAAAGAAATATTAGTAAAAATATACAACACGTAGAACATTTAGAGTCTGTTGCACACTACCATAAGCATTTTATAAAAATAATGATGAAGATAATGGTAAATAATGAAGACGATAGTGATTTAAAGCACTAGAGTAATGTAATTTTAGAGATGATGTGTTTTAACAATTATTTAGTCTTATCGTCTAATTATGCTGAAGATGGAAATAAGATTTTTATTCCCCAAACCAATCCTAATAGCTTTACAGTTCACTTGCAATGCATTCCTTACTGAATTAATGTTATGTTGCTCTCTATTACGAAATCTGACCACATTACCTCTGGTACATTAGGACTTTTGGTGTAATAGAGGTTTCCAGTGTTCAACAATGCCTGGGTTACCTCTTCTTTCTCAGTGCCTAGAAAGACCACTTTTCCTAAACATCCTTGCAGTTATGCCAGGGGCTATGTGACTGAGTTCAGGTTGTTGGAATGCAGATAAAGATGATGAAAGCCTTCTCCAGGACTGATCCTTTGACACATTCCACACAAGTCTTTAGTCCTCACTCCTCTTTCTGTGGTGACTTTTATGCCATAGATGTGGTAACTACAAGATGTAGTTACCTGGGTGTGTGAGTCAGTTCTTAAGGAAAGCCATCCCGAAGCACATGGACTGCAATGGATTTTAAAATCAGCAAGAAATAAATATTTGTTTTACACCACTGATATTTTGTGATTTTGTTACAGCAACTGATTGGTATTATCTTGATTCAAACATACGACACTGTGACTTGAAACAAGATGGCATAGAATCATCTTTTCCTCTTTCTGCCTCTTAAGTACAACCAAAAAACCTGGGAAGTAATATGGCAAACAATCATACAGGAACCCTGAAAAGTAGATGGAGTAAGGCAGAACAGCTAGAGATCCCAGGACTGTCTTCAGTGGCAGAAGGCCTCCTACGTTTGAAATCACTTGACTCTCCACCTAATAACTGAAGGTGGCACAAGTAGGTGATTTTCCCCTGATGGAACCAACAGAGACGAGTGGGAACCCAATGACACTGGTGCTTTTAATTCTCAGATAAAAAAAAAAAATCTAAAAAAATGGTCACTAGCAGACCTACTGTTTATTTTTCCCCCTTTTTATTGTGGTGAAAATATACACACCAAAACATTCACCAGTACAACAACTTACTCATGTATAATTCAATGATATTGATTACATTTTTCATTTTTCACCATTATTACTATCTTTTACAAATATTTTTTCCACCATTACCATAAATCAATGCCCTGAAATAAAAACTCCCCTTTTTCCTCTCCATCCCATCTCTGGTAACCATCTTTGGTCTTTATATATTTGTTGATATCATATAAGTGAGGTCATACGGTATTTGTCCTTTCACAATTGACTTATTTCATTCAGCATAATGTTTTCAAGGTCCATCCTTGTGGCATGCATCAAAGCTTCATTTTTCTTTATGGCTGCATAATACTCCATTTTATGTATGTACCACAATTTGTTAATCCATTCAACTATCGATGGACATGTCAATAGTTTTCACTTTTTGGCTATTATGAAAAATGCTGCAATGAATATTGTTGGAGCATACTTACTTTTAAAGAATGCGTAAAGGAAATTTTTCAAGTAGAAAGAGAATGATGTCAGAACAAACCCTAAAACGTCAACAAAAAAATATTAAAATGAGTAAAAATGGAAATACATAATCTATTGTATTTAGGCCATTTTTATTTTATTTATCTTATCTACTTGTTAGTTTCTTAAATCACATTTGATTATTGAAACAAAAATTAAAATACCATCTGCTGTGGAGCTCAATGTATGTAGAAGGAATATTTAACATGATTATATTAAAACAATTATATTTAAATGTGGGGAGGGTAAAGGAACCTAAATGGAAGTGTCTACATTATACTCAAGATAGTAAACAACTGATACTAGTAGCTTAGTATGTTGCATATGTATATTGCAATAACTATAGCAACCATTAAGAAAATTATGCAAAATGATGTATTCAATACACTCTAAGTAAATTAAAATTGAATTCTAAAAAAACTGTTCATAGCACAAAGGAAGGCAAGAAAGAAGAAAAAGAGACTTCTGGGCAATATGGTGCTCTAGGCAGAAGCACCACACTGTCCCTCCACAGCAAAGATCCAAAAAAACTAAGCCAAAAAGAGACAACAGCAATCCTGAAACCCTAAGCATCAAATGAAGAGATAGAGTACTCAGCCAAACACCAAATGGAATAAGAAACTGACAGAGAACAAAGAGTGAGGAGAGATACATGCAGAGGTCCCCTATCAGCTAATACAGCAAGGATCCGACATCTTGGACTCCTATCAGAGACCAGCAAACAGGGGGTATGAGAAAGCAGCTTCATGGAGCCTCCAGCAGGAGACAGAACAACCGGTAAACAGTGATACACGCTTTCCCACCTCCCACCCTTCTTCACCTCCACTTAGCCTCCTCTGCTTCCCACAGCCACAGTCTCTTGGCTGGAAAGCACTGGCTGCTTGGATTCCACCCGCCCACACTGGCTGACTCCCTGAGTGCCATTTGTTGGCTGCTGGTGTTGCTTTTTTCCACTTCTTTTGACTTCTTCCTTACCTCTAACAAACTCCCCCTCCTTTCTCTCAAATACCTGGCTCTGTGAACCATCTTCGCTTCTTCCTGAAAGGCTGTGAAACTCCACTTGAATGTGAAACTCCTGCCCGGTTGGTCCTGCCATGCTAGTGGGATCCCAGGGCTATTTTGTTTGTTTGTTTTGAATTGTTTGTTTGTTTTCTTTTTCTTGTCTTGAATTGGGAGCTTATTCTAGCAGGGAAGTACGGCAAGGATTGGGACCTACCCCTCAGTTTGCACAGAAGCACAGAGGAATCCCTGAGGGCATTTCTTTTTTCGTATTTTTTTTTCTTCTGTTTTTTGGGGGATTTTACTTGTT